AGAATAATCAATTTTGTGTTATTGGTTGAAATCTCATCCTCAATTATTTTAAGAAATACGCATGGAAATTTGCTGATCGAATAATTTTTAATGGTCTATTTTTAAAGACAATATTTAGAGACACTTTGATCGCATTAAATAACCTCTTCTCTTACTAGAAATGGCCCACTTAAATTAATAGGGCATTTTTCATTTAAATAAACATCGTTTATTTGTCCTAAAAAATGATTAAATAGCAGAATTTTATGTTAAATTTTTGGAATTGGTTGAATTAATAAATTAGATTTCGGAATAATCTAAAAATTCTAAATTACAATTCTCAAATTTAAATTATACCTATTATATTGTTTGAAATTTAATTGGGATAATAGATTTAAATGAATATTAGTAGTTTAGAAAATTTTATTAAAATCTTAAATTTAATAAGTAATTACTTAATGGAATACATTCATATATACTAAGTTATTGTTCTCATCATAAAAATAAATATATTCATTTTAAAAATAAAAGTTTGGTTTACCTATTGGAATAATAAATCTTGGTTTTAAATAGAGGCTTTATAAAAAATATATGAAAAGATATAATTTATTATCTTTTTCCGTTACTATCTATAAACTAGAGTGAGAATGAGAATATGTTAGAGGTTAATAAATGGAAAAATCAAATAGTTCAAGATTTTATAAAAATATTACTTCATTCTAATTGATAGTGACAATTTTTAAAGTTAAATCAACATTATGTAATACAATAAAGAAAAAATTTTAAATTACACCTAGTATTTTCCAGTCAAGAAACTTAATTTTTAAAATAGCGTTATTTTTTTGAATGAAAATATATCCTTTTACTTAATATATCTGAAAAAAATCAAAACCTTTATAATAAAACAATATTTCATCTTGAGTATTGCTTACTTTATTGTATATAATTTTATAATCTTAGAAAAGTTCAATTATTAAGGGTTCCTTATCTTTCAAAGTTATTAACAGATAATTTAAACTTAACTAAGCATTTCTTATTTCAGAATCAATTTTTATAGTATAATATTTTAAAGATAGCTAGGAGCAAATGATTATATTTACTAGATTTAATATTCTGTCTTAAATGATAACATAGTTTTTATAAATGAATACAGATTTGCCTTGCATAAATACTTGATGAAATAATTTTTATTGAGTACAATTATAGAAGTACATACTTTTCTCATCTTAAAATACAAATATTCCAGAAAAAGTATCAAAAAGCAGGATGATCACATCCTAAAAAATTTAGTGTTATGGGCAAATAGATGATAATTTAATTTTCATTTCATTAATACTTAATAAATGCTTGTATTCTGGAGGCACCTCAAAAATTATTGGGATTCCATTCGTGAATTTCAAATAATTAATGTATATTTACAATTGCTCTGTTGAATTATTACAGATAAGGTAATACTCATTATCCCCAAAATCATGTTCTTATAATAGAGTCAACGGATTTTATTTTTTAATCTTTGTGCATTTGATATCTGAATTCTCACAACAATGAAAAAATTTCAAATTAAATTCATACATATATTCATATTGTGGTACAATATATTACAATAGATGTCTAATTTTAAATAGCTTTATTTAATTTAGGCTTGGATCAATTGCAAAAAAATAATTAAAAGTTCTATCAAATAAAAGCAAACCTGAAATATCATAATATTATATGAATTTCTAATTTACGAATAACTATAAGTTTTTTTCATGTTAGAATATTTTAAATTATTCATGTTGATGTGCTATAGGAGGAGGAGTGGATTTACTAAATGTTATAGTGGAGTATTAAGAATAATATTAGAATTGTGTGAGTGATTCTTCTTACCCAACAAAAATAATAACATCACATTGATTATCAAATACCAATTAAGATATTTGATGTTCTTAAGTTAGTAATAGAAACACGGAAATCCTATGAGCATCCATCTTCACGTACCCTGTATCGAATAATGCATAAACAAATGTTTTATCATTGTCTTTATCCTAGCAAACTTGTAAATTCACTAAATTTGTTAGATTAACATGCTTCTAATAGCTACTTAATATCATCTCATCTAAAATAAGAGTAATGTTATTATCCAACACTTAAAAAATTCGCCAATCTGAACAATTAATATAACCTATTAAGTAATCAAAAGGCTTAATTTAAATGGATTTAGGTGTGCAAAGCATAAGTTCAGAGTCTTAAGGATAATTGTACAAAGAATAAAACTAAGCCTATTCATCTAAATAAACAGATATTAATTAAAATTTTTCTATAGAGTAGCAAAATATGGTAAAAATTTATTTTTCATCGTAAAATATTGATTAGCATGCTCCATTAGGTAAAGTAATAATTTCAGTCTTATTTGAATAATTAAGATCTATTTCTTCTTAAATAAAGTTAAGCCCGATTATATAGAAACTANTATTGCTTACTTTATTGTATATAATTTTATAATCTTAGAAAAGTTCAATTATTAAGGGTTCCTTATCTTTCAAAGTTATTAACAGATAATTTAAACTTAACTAAGCATTTCTTATTTCAGAATCAATTTTTATAGTATAATATTTTAAAGATAGCTAGGAGCAAATGATTATATTTACTAGATTTAATATTCTGTCTTAAATGATAACATAGTTTTTATAAATGAATACAGATTTGCCTTGCATAAATACTTGATGAAATAATTTTTATTGAGTACAATTATAGAAGTACATACTTTTCTCATCTTAAAATACAAATATTCCAGAAAAAGTATCAAAAAGCAGGATGATCACATCCTAAAAAATTTAGTGTTATGGGCAAATAGATGATAATTTAATTTTCATTTCATTAATACTTAATAAATGCTTGTATTCTGGAGGCACCTCAAAAATTATTGGGATTCCATTCGTGAATTTCAAATAATTAATGTATATTTACAATTGCTCTGTTGAATTATTACAGATAAGGTAATACTCATTATCCCCAAAATCATGTTCTTATAATAGAGTCAACGGATTTTATTTTTTAATCTTTGTGCATTTGATATCTGAATTCTCACAACAATGAAAAAATTTCAAATTAAATTCATACATATATTCATATTGTGGTACAATATATTACAATAGATGTCTAATTTTAAATAGCTTTATTTAATTTAGGCTTGGATCAATTGCAAAAAAATAATTAAAAGTTCTATCAAATAAAAGCAAACCTGAAATATCATAATATTATATGAATTTCTAATTTACGAATAACTATAAGTTTTTTTCATGTTAGAATATTTTAAATTATTCATGTTGATGTGCTATAGGAGGAGGAGTGGATTTACTAAATGTTATAGTGGAGTATTAAGAATAATATTAGAATTGTGTGAGTGATTCTTCTTACCCAACAAAAATAATAACATCACATTGATTATCAAATACCAATTAAGATATTTGATGTTCTTAAGTTAGTAATAGAAACACGGAAATCCTATGAGCATCCATCTTCACGTACCCTGTATCGAATAATGCATAAACAAATGTTTTATCATTGTCTTTATCCTAGCAAATTTGTAAATTCACTAAATTTGTTAGATTAACATGCTTCTAATAGCTACTTAATATCATCTCATCTAAAATAAGAGTAATGTTATTATCCAACACTTAAAAAATTCGCCAATCTGAACAATTAATATAACCTATTAAGTAATCAAAAGGCTTAATTTAAATGGATTTAGGTGTGCAAAGCATAAGTTCAGAGTCTTAAGGATAATTGTACAAAGAATAAAACTAAGCCTATTCATCTAAATAAACAGATATTAATTAAAATTTTTCTATAGAGTAGCAAAATATGGTAAAAATTTATTTTTCATCGTAAAATATTGATTAGCATGCTCCATTAGGTACATTAAATAAAATATGAATTCCCCTGATTAATAAGATTGCATATTTATAATTCACCTTTCTTTTAAAAGGATTCTAATAAAGTAGCAGATTTTTAAATTCCTTCCATTTCATACTGTTAAGAATACTCAAATAATACAATATCATATCCTATATCATTAATTTTTGAAAAATCTGCTTCGTCAGTGTTTATAAGAAGACCACCTGCATAACTTGAAATAAAAAAATCATTTTTATCCATTATTTCTTTCTAGCAAGTTTAAGCTTAAGAAATTATTTGTTAAACAAAGAACAGTAGTATTTCTAGGAACATAATGATATTTTTTTATAAATAATTATTGGATAATATCAAAATCAAAGTAATTACAGCATTTATATAATAATGTAATAAGATTTTGGAATGATCATGATTCTTTGGATGATAAAGTGAAACATTATGAATTCCCCTTGACAAAAGAGATCTATGGCTTATGATAATTATTTATAATGTTTTGAATAAAAATATGTTATTATTATTCTTATGTTTGAACTATTATATGTCTTTACTTTTTTCTGGTTTTTGCAAATTTAATAAGGCTTAAAAATCTAGTAAAAAGGATGCATATTATAGTGAAATAAGCATGAATGGTAAGGATTCTTATATGGCTTAGTGTGAATCAGAATAATATGAGTTCTAAACTCAAGATGATACAAGAAAGGAAAGTATTCAGATGAATATTATAAAACATGACTTCCTAATGAAGTATAAGGCAAATAGAATAATACCCTTAGAAATAATCAAAATGGAAAAATAAAGAACTTTATGTTGTCACATGTCTTGAACGAAAATGATAATTTATCTATGCTTCAATTTATATTCGATGACAATCAAGGGGCTCTTTATATGATATGAGATTAATTAACATAGCGTTGAAAATTTAAAGCTTTATATTAATGGTTGATATAATATATGGTATAACTTTTATTTGACTTATTAAAGATAATATTTATGAAAAGAATATTGTAAGTATATTCTACTTGGATAGGATGAATATAGTTGTTTTGAATGGATGAGAATTTAAATATTTTCCTTTTATTTGAAAATAATAATTATTATTGTTAATTACAAATCCTAAGACATAGTAAGAATATCTATATGTCTACTAGAAGAAGTGGTTGACTTGAAGTAATCAGTAGTTCATTTATCTGAGATGAAGCCTATGAATATTTAATAATGATGGTTTCTGAGAGAAGTGCATTGGATGACAAAGTCTTAAGAGTTGTATTAAGAAAGAAAATCAAAGAGAGAAGAGGAGGATTTAATGGAGAGCAGTATGGCCATCTTAAGAAAGACAAAGATTTTGAGTTAGAATTCACATATAAATAACACAAGACAACTTCAATATTCAGTTCCATTGAAACATCTAAATAAAATATTTTAGCAGTACATTGAATAGGATTAAGAGAAAGAAATTAAACGATTTGGAATTTAATAATATTTTAAATAGATAAACTATATATATTTAAAAATGAATTATTCTAGTCTTGGTAAATAAGATGTAATTCTAGTTAAGGAACATACTGTTATAGATAATAAAAGGATTTATCATACAATAAGTTTATACAAGATATTGAATATCTGAATCATATACTATGAAGTGGATCAGATAATGACAAACTTTATAAATATGTGGAAATGAGTATATCTATAAAATCAAACAGTGAGTAAAGTAAATAAGGAGGCAGGATGGAGGAATATTGCAAGGAATAAGAGAAATATAATATAGAATAGAATTCAACATTGTTTACATCGAATAATGAATTTTCGTTTGAAACCCACAAGAGAATACTAGCCTATTATCTTGATGTTAAAAAAAGAGAGTATTAGAAGAAATCAGTATACTTTAATACTTCCCTCTATTGAGATTAAAGTATAAAATTTGGAAAAGCTGATATATTTATAAATTTTGGGGAAACTAGAATGCTTGGAATGGAGAAATCTAATCTAATTTTGAAACAGATTAAATCTATTGAATGGATAGAGTGTTAAATTTAAAGTTGCTTTCCTAATAGGATGTGAATTTATATACTGCTAGGTAGGCATATAGGAGAACAGAAGAATATAAAGGGAATCAATTTGATTAATTTAGATGATTATAGATCAAGAGAGAAGAGAAATCTTAAAGATGATGATCAATGATTAATTAGATACATGTATAATTAGTGAGAAATAGTTTACAAAAATTGTACTAATCTTTATTTAATTTGAAAAATCCTATTGGTCATTTCTTTTATTCATATTCTTGCCTAAATCTTGAAAATAGGACTTGATCAATAGATAATCCAATATATATAAATAATAATAAGACTAATTTAGCTCATAAGAAATATGCCATTTTTGGATATGATTAATAATAGTAGATGGCTCGTAATTTAAGCAGTTATTTATCAGTTTCAAGTCATAATCTTAGATATTAATAGGTAAATGACTTTTCAATTAATCATTGATAAATTTTATTATATATTCAAATTTAACTCCTTTTTTGATATTGCGTCCTATCTCTGAATTTAAATTAATTTAGATTCTCATCAAACCTTTAATTCCATACCTTCTGGTGTAACTGTAATAAACATAATTAATTTTAAAAAAAAGCTATAGATAAGTTGTTTATCCTTCATTCTTCAGCTATCTATAAGGTTGTAGTAGGCTATGTGTCACGAAGATTTTAAGTTACTTCTCATTAGGTATTCCTTAATCTAGCAAATAGTAATTAATGAATGTAATGTTGATTATATATTATAGGTAATTGATATTTTGATATATTTATTTGAGCGGTATTTAAAATTCTTCTCCTAGGGAAACTTAAGGTTCTATGTCGAACATTTTTTTCTTTAGCTTACTTATTATTCCAATTACATTCATACTTTAATCTAATATCAAATAAGATTGGAATAATGACATCTTTATAATCTCATCATTATTTTTGATTAGGCCTATTCTTATTTGAATTTTTGATAATATGCCTATATTTCATTCCTTTTTCATTTTATATGTTATTAAATTCGACAAAATATTCTATTATTCTGTGCTTAACTTTTGTCCGAAAAACATTCTAATACCAATAGTGATTGTTTTTAGAAGTAGATAATGAGGTATTCCCATTTAATAGTTTATAAATAGTGAGTTACTTCTGGGTTCCTGTGAGCATCATCCACTAATTTAAAATTCTTCTAAGCAAACTTGCTGTGCTTATGAGTTTCAATTAGCACGATAATGTATCTATAGTCATAAGCTACTGTTGTTTAAAATTGATAAAATGTGGCTGTGCATTAAGGCTCAAACATCAATGTGAAAATATTTTCATATGGTTTTTATCAATTCAGACATCCCTAGAGTAAATTGAAATTGATTTACTTAATTCGAGATTTAGCTAGCATGCATGAATCACTAGAGTAAGAAGAAACAGGAACAAAATCGAATGAGAAATTATTTATTGAGGATTCTCTTGATTTCAATCGATCACATATCAATATTGCATTAAAGGTTTACTTTACTCCAATCTTACAATTCCCTTATTGTTGATGGGATTCTCTAGTAAACATTATTAGAGGATCTAAATGAATCTGAATAAACATAATAATTCGCTTTTTTATTACCTTTGGTTTTTAAAATCTATTGATAGTAATATTTTAAAGAATCCTTACAAGATTATTTGGAGGGGCATCATTTGATTGAATTTAAAATTATACATATTTTCTAATATGATATCAAAATACCATTTATATATTATGCTCTAATAACGAATTTAGAGCATAAATTAAGATTTTTAACTATGTTTTATTTTTTATTTATTTTTTTAATTAAAAATAATTTTCTAAAAAATGATTTAATCCAAAATGATAGAAAAAGAAGAGGATCTTCATTGTTCTTTAAAACATAAACTTCCTGTCCTTATGGTTGTTTGCGATTGTAAATTAAAGAGGAACGAAAGACTTTTATGTTCTGAATGCATGGAAAATTTTGAATCAAAAGTCTAAATAATGAGCTTTAAAAAAGTTTTAGAGAATATATAGTAAAATCAAAATTAAAAGAAGGAAAACGTTGAGAATGTGATAATGAATAATATCAAACTAATTGAAGAATTCTAAAAAAGTCTTTTTTTATTAAAATCTCATGTTATTTAAGTATTAGATTAATTAATAGGAAATGTAGAGGAATGGATTAAACATATAGTAATAATTGGACAATAAAATGTTACATATAGTTTATTTAACGAATTGGATAATCTAATTAACAAGAATAGATTGGAAGAATTCAGTCAAAAATCATTAATTGATCAAATTAATTTAATTCAATTATCGTGGAATCAAAAAATTGAAAAGAATCTAAATTTATTTAAATCATTTTAAGAAAGTTAAAAATGTGATGAAATTTTACAAAAGTTGAGAAATGTCAATTAAACAAATGAGAATAAAAAAGAGCAAGAATTAATTTAAGTAAACTATGAAATATTATGTAGTCAAAAAACGAAATGATTTAAGTTGAGTATGAATAGAAGTAATTAGAATAATAATCGATGTATAAATAAGTTTAATTTAATTTCATTGATGATTCAAATAAATAGAGAGGATTTTGTTATGCCATAGTGTTTAATAACGATGATTCAATTATGGTTTCATGTGAGTAAAAGTAGATTAAAATATGGAAATTTGAATAAGGAACATTCCAATTAACTAATTCTTATAATGAACATAACAATGATATTACTTGTTTAGTGTATAGCAAAAAAACAAATAACTTTATTTCTGGTTCCTCCGATCACTAAATTATATGTTGGCAATAAATTAATCAAAATGAGTGGAAGTGCTCATTACCATTCAAGTAACATACATATAGTGTTAATTTTTTATTGTTGAATAAGTAGGAGGATCAACTACTTTCAGGAGATGATCGTAAAATAATAGTATGGAAAGTAGAATTTATAAAGAATGATCTAACTTTTCTGTATTTCTTAGATAACCATAGCAATCTTGTTTTGTCACTCAGTTTTAATTAATCTGAAACTGTATTGGCATCATGTGGTTATTCTGAATTTATAATATGGGAAAAAGGAATATCAGGAAAATGGGAATTTAAATATAATTAATATGTTTTATCATATGGATATAAAATCCGTTTCATTAATGATTAACAATTTCTTTGGGTAACTTATGGAAGGTATATTAATGATATTTTGGTATTTGAATTATAGAATGAAATTTTTATATAGAACTCAAATAAAACAATTTCTTTAATTGAAAATGATGAATGTGAAGATTCTCTTTTATTTCCAATAATACATAATAAAGATAGAAATGTGATATTGGTAAGACATAAACATCATATCTATTTAATTAGACAATTAAATGATGGTACATTTAATATTGTTGCATCATTAAATCTTTAAACTTCATACACTTATGGAACTATGACCAATAATGGCTAATATTTAGTATTTTGGGATAAAATTTTTAAAAAACATTCTTCATATGAGATATTATATTGAAATACATCAGTATTTATATTTTATATAATAAATTAAATACATTCCATTTTTCTTTGTTAAATTTGCATAAGTGTTTGTCTTTGTAGATTTAAAAGTTCATATTAATAAAACCTCTTTATTGCTTGGAGAATTTACTGTAAGATTGATAAATATTGATTATTAGTAAAAAAAGTCCTATTTGATTTTGCTATCTATGAGCTGATATTAATACAAATTCTCATTTCATTCCTTAATTACCCCTGTTTTAAATCTTCAACTATTTTACACACAATGCTAAAACAATGTATAATGAATGCAGTTTCAAATTAACTGTTATAATTGTTATAACTTGGAATTCATCCTTTATATTTACCTTTATTAACTTGTTCATTGTGTGTATTATATTTTTTCATGTAAACATTGTAACTAAGCAAATGGTTCTACATTGCTAGTCTTTTTGAATAATCGATAGTAGGAAAATTAAGCAAACCGTTTTGTGTGATAGTTTCATTTTATTCTAGTGCCATTTGTAAGTCTTATTCAAATCTACCCCAAATCTATATCGTATAATCCTTTCCTTATACTCCTTAAAATAGTTACTTTTACATATTTTTCATCAAAGCAACTATCAATGTTTTAAGAATTTAATTGATATGCTTTATGAATTCATTATATAATCCGACTATTCAATCCTTAATACATTCCTCCTCAATTATTATCATACTTAAATTACTTCAAAATTTATATCTCTGAGTTTCTCTATATACCTCTTCTTCATTCTCCTCAATAATCTTACTTCCTCCAACCTCCTCTCTACATCCTTTTTCTTGAAATAATATTTTGAAAATGGAACAGAAAGATGAAAGCCTAAAGCAGCCAGAAATTTAGGATTCTCAAACTTTACTTTCAGAAGTGTAATTTCTGAAGAAACCTCCAAAATTTTGCCTACTTATAAATTATTAAAACGATCCAAATTACTTTATAAAAAATCTTTTGTTATTCACAATCTAAATTATATTTAATATCAACTATAGTGTTTGCATCAAACTTTATAGTTTCTATATTGTAGATCAAGAACTTAAGATAATATTAGTATATTGATCTCTTAACGAAACTTAGAATTTGTAAGGATAATTAAATAAATAATTTCATTTATTGATATATCCTTATTTATTAAATTCAAATGACCTACTTTATTTTAAACTTTTAAATAAGATTTTTCCAAAATTCCTTTTATCTTTTTATGATAGTATCCCAGAGTCTCAATCTATTCATTTAAATATCTTTATAAGTCATCTCCATAATTCCTCAAGTAAGCCGATTCCTTCTTGTTAAAAATTTGATAGTCTTATAAGAATATTTTGGATTGTATGCTGGTAAATATATTATGTTTATTCTGAATGTTCCTTAGTGTATTTCAGAGATGTCAACAAGGTTGAAACAATATAAGACAGATATCAAAGTTTAGATTATGTGAAATGAAACTTCCTCAAAATCTTATCAACCTGCTTTACTGTTTGGAAGATTATCATAATTTGCTCTTAAAATTCAAGGCACTTGCAATTTGGTAATTTCAATTGAAAATTTTCATCCTGAACTAGTAACCTTTCGAATGTTTGGTAAAAGATAATGATTTATTTATATTATCTTCAACAGTAAAGAGTAGAATAGAAGGATTTCAAAATAAAAATCTTTAGCACGTTTTCTTGGTTGTTGTGGCAGTCAAAAAATAATAAAAACTTCTATTTATCGCTTATTTCGTAAAAATTATATAAGATTATACTGAGAAATTCTAATTTCGACAATCTTTTTTTATTAACTATTAATCTTAACTTTTTGTTTTTTTTATCCAATATAACTATTTAAGCATCACTTCTTCTCTTCTTTTAAGGTTACTATCAAATATTTAATTAGGAACCCTACATTCCGATTAACATTAAAAAGGCGCCAAGAAGCAACATAACAATCATCTTCAAGATGAGTAGTGAAATGAGTAATTAATAATAATAATGAAGTTTGATGTTAAATTGTGGACGGCCTCTGGAAATATCAAGGTCGACACTTATTGCGAAGGAGTGTTTGAATATCTCTTAGCATTGATAATGATACAAATGCAGAGGTATATTACTAATAAATATACAGTCTCAGATTCTGAGCAGAATGCATAGAGATTCCTGCAACTTGCGAAAAATGGGATAAATATAATGCCATTATAATAAGGCGGAAGATCCATGTTATTGGACAAGAACTGCTTGTATTAAAAATCATGCAATAACACTCCTTATACAACTGGCTCTCCAGAGGATTGCAATACATATTTGGCTGGATGTGCTTTAGATAATTCATAAATGCAAAATAAAAGTTTGCCAAGATTTGACCTTTGCCACAGATGCTTTATGTAAATAAGCTATTGATTCATGCATAATAAATGGAACAATTGTATCAAAAGAGGAATATGCTTTTAAGCTTTCAGTCAAGCCGGATGTATCTTATCTGCCACAAGTGAGTAATGCAAATAGATATCAGCTGTGTTAATGGATCAAATTTAGTACTTCTCCTACTTATAATTTTAAAGTCTTAAGATTCAAAATAAATAAGTTATATACATCTTGTACTGATGCTTCTACCATAACTCATTAAGACTGTTAAATTTTTAGTAGTAGATGTACAAAAAGTAAAACAACAGAATGCATTGCATTAGGATCTCACTTCATGGGCCGGATGTTCCCTCAATGGTAAGGGTGTCTAATAATCATTAATATTCATCTGGAGAAATTGTAGCCAATGTTCTTCGCACTTAAGATACTACTTCTAGTAGTTGCAGAGACTTATTATGTCCGATTTGACAGGTACAAACCATGCAATATGATCTTTATAATCGTCTACTTGCACATCGGATGGAACTATATGTTTACTAAAATTGCTTGTTCTTTATACATTTTCTTACACAACAGCAGTTGGATCTGATGAATAATGTTATTGGGAACTAGCATCTGTAACTAATAATGACGCTGCCAAATGTAGATTACTTACTTGTGCTGATATTCAAAATGGAACAACATACATCATTTGTACCACTAACATGTAAACTTGTGTTTCACAAAAATTATTCATTCATCTACTATCCGCAGAATAATTCTTTGAAATTTATTGACATAGAAGATGATTAATAAGCTTCTAATTATTGCAGACAATAAACAATTATAAAAAGTAATTAATTTTAGTATGTTTATAGCATATTCCTGTAAAATATTCTCATGTACTCTGCCAAAAGTAGTATTGTGAGTTGAATTTAGTTGAAGTATCACGTCTTCTATTAAAGTTTATTTTATATTTTAATTAGCTTAAGATCTAAAAGATCCACTTTTATAAACTTTCTCAAAAATATCTCAGTAAAGATAGTAATTTTAAATATTGATGAGTTCTATATCAATCTGATGTGAAGATTTTACACAAATGATTAGGTATTTTAGTTTATTTGACTACATATTATTTGGGAGCAATGATTAGGCAAATAAAATACTTTATTAATCATTTGATATTATTTTCTTAAGGTAACTTAAGTTGATAAATTTGATCCATTCAAATATATTACTAACTAACAATGCAAATAGATTATGCTAAAATTTAGAGTTTTTAAAAGTAATCTATATTTAAATATTGAAAGGCTGGCTAATCTTCAAATTAGTCTGGCTGTTCTAAAGCAACACTTAACTTAAAGAACTTTTAAATAATTATTAATAATAGTGAATATGATTATTATTCAATTGGAGAAAAATTTAAGATTGATTGAGAAGATGCCAATGCCTTAAAAAATTTAGGAAATTTTAAATAGGTAACTCATTTTTCCCAGCATGTAACAGTTAAAATCAAGTGAATCATGGGATTATTCTTAAATATTAAAAAGCTGATTTTATGAGTTATGTCAGGCGAATAATAATGAGTATACATCAAACGATAAAATAATCAACTATTTTTGCGTTTAAAGGCTAATTAAAATTTAGACTGAATTGAACGATGTAGATTACGAATTTAGAATGAGAAAAAAGAAAAAATGCTACTAAATGACCTAAGTGACAAGTTTAAACTTGAATCATCAACTATCAATTTGGAACATACAATTAAAATTTGGATATCTAGAGAAGTAACAAATTTATTTCATAAACTTCTAACATAATATTTTGGAAATGAGAAAAAGAGGAATTCATGTATAATTTAGGTAGGTTACTCTGAACATCAATAATACAAGATTACTTACTCAAATTTATTGAATGGACCTATGAGGATCAGCTAAGAAGAGATGGTGTAAACGGAGGTGGACCCAGATAAAGCTGCCTATGTTTCTAAACAAGAAATTTAAGTGATTTTTGAAAGGATGATCACAAGTTTAAGGGAAAATAGCAAGTCTTGTCATTAAAAAGTTAAATATCTTATAATTTGAGTGAATTCAAGGAGAAATGTTAAATAACAGTTCATAGAAATGAAGAGAAGGGCGATCTCAAATTGAACCTTTAAAAGAGATCCTTCTTTATTCATTTCTGATAAAAAATATAGTGAATTTAAATTTTACCTCTCATTACTTATAATAATGTTGTGATATGGAATTAAGACAAGTATGATCAAGTCATGGGAAATATTAAAAAAAACTCTTTTAGGTGAATAGAACTTCAGGAGAATGAGTGAGATGAGAAAAAGCTTTTCATGTGCAAAAAGTACATTTGAAGAAGATCAGGGTGCTGTAGAATGATTGAAGGAATCTCTTGGATTAGGATTTTTTAAGTCAGTTGTAAAAATGAATGAGGAGGATATTTGTATATGACGAATAACTTAATTGTTTATTCTAAAAAAAAGTATATGATAAAAAATCATAGATATTAAGGAATTTGATACATAAAATAGGAATAGGAAATTGAGAGTTCACCCTTTCAAAGTAACAAAGGTTTGGGGTATGACTATTTTTAAATATACATATGGATTGAGAGTTTTTGAAACAAATACAATTAGAATGGATTGTGAAAATATTAGAGATCATTTGTTTGATAAAACAGGGGATCCTAATGGCAAAATAGATGGAATCATAAATTTGGAGAGAATAGAAGAAATAAGTGAAAAGGAAAGGCAAAATGAGCATGAAAGAGTAAATTGAAGTGCTTGATTTATGATCTAAATAAGATGCTATATGAACATATAGTAAACATCTGAGAGCAACTTAAAGGATGGACTATTTTTGCTTTCTATTTAGTTTACTGTTAATAAAATAATTCAGATTGGAGCTTATCATAATTTAAAGAAAATATCTACAATTTCTATATAAACTAAATTAATGTTTCACTATTTCCAGACATCAAGTTTTGGTACTTTGCCAGAACTAACCATATAAAAGAATGAATATCTGACAGAGGGAAAAGAGCAGTAAAATAAATGGAGAAGTCACAGCAGATGAATAAAAGAACTATGCTATTCACCATAAGGATAAAAAGAGTTTTTAAAATGACAAACATTCTTGTTGATGATATTGAAGAGAATGGAAGCAGGAGATAAATAAGCCCAAAATATTGCAATAGTAAATTAATTAATTGAGCAGAAAAGCCTAATGAATAGTATTTAGAATTAAATTAATTGAAATTTCATAAATTTACAAACAATAATTTTAGAATAAGCCTTCCAAAAAGGTGGCTAGCGATGATTTGAGCCTTTCTGATAAAATAAGTCAAAGTTGATTACTTTCTATTAATTAAAAATAGTATGGGCACATCTAGCAATACTAATTCTTAAATAAGTGGAAAAAACCTTGTAAATTTTATGAAATCAAATTTTACATCAAATCTCAAAATTCAAAGCATTTAAGCTATCAATTAACTGTAAGAATTCATCATATTATATTTGATTCAACAAATTTCCTTGCTTCATTAATCATCCTATAATATAATGATAACATTTTTGTCTTGAACCTTCCTCTGTACCATCCTCTATAAATTTAGTTACAAGTCAACGATACTAAAGTCCTTAACTCTTATTTTTTCAAGTCTAATATAAAAGCTGGTTAAAAAACAAGTATAATTGTATGACTTTGATCCAATTAGGATTTTCACTTTTGTCATATATCATAATCTTTTGTTGGAATACTTCAGGATTGGTGTTTTATGATTGGCTTTGGTCCAATCTCTAAAAATTGGTTATAATTTTTAATTCAACCCTTATTGTTAAAATTAAAATATTCATTCATCTTGTTTAAAAATTATTCAATCTTAGTATTCCTATATTCTTTATAATTGATAACAAAGGCAGCAATACTTTACCGTTAATATTTATTTGTGAGCTCTGAATTTATTGTTGTGATAGAAATTATATTAAACAACTACATGGAATTAACTGAAAAGGTAGAAATCTTAGATTGATAAGAAAAATAATTCACTCAGAAATCAAAAATATTTTTCATATTAGCTTTATAGTCTTGATCGCGATGATTTAAGATGACTTAGGTTCAAAAAATTACAGATTTTATAAAAAATTTAGTATCTCAAAAGAAAAATATAAGAGGATTCCAAAAGAACAGATAGTTAATTAATAGAAATAATTTAATCATTATTTTAATTTTAATTTTAATTTTAATTTGTATATGTATTTTTTTTATTTCATAAATGAATTCCATTAAAATAATTAACTTCATACCAGTTGTGAATGAATATTTTAGCTCACTACTTCTGTCCAAATTTTTTAAATATCCATAGGTTATACAGAATTTCTTAATTAAGCTGACTACATATTATTTGTAAATTTGCTTATTATGAGTTCTAATGATTGTGTTGATTCTTCTCCTGAACAGGCTCTTAAGTTAATTATTTGTCTTATTTCTTGTGGTAGTTAACAGAATTGATCAATTGTTGCTTTTGGATAACCTGCTTATCCATCTGTATAAAATAATATTTAAATTCTAATATGTTATATTTTCTTACTTATTAAAGCCAGTATATTTTTAAACCAATTTTAGTGCTTGTTCAAATGGATGTTCAAAATTTGTGCCTCCTCCCATATACTAGATTTTTTTATTCATCTCTTTGAAATTTGGTGTTTAACATTCTTCTGCTACTCTTGATTCTTGATTAAAGATTATAACACTAACTTTTGAACAATCAGTAGTTTCTAACTACTTTATACATTCTAATGCTCCGTTTTTTGCTATGTTCCATTTATCTCCTTACATTGAACCTGAATCATCAAGAATAAGAATATAATGAATATTAGAAGCTTAATTTTCAAATTCTGACTTTTATTTGAATATGATTTAATGTTTCAATTATTTTTCTAAATATGAGCAAACCAATTTTCCTAAACCTAAATTCCAAACATTTTTCCATTTTTCTTTGTTTTTACTTCTTGTTGCGTCATCTTAATTTTTGAAATTCCATGTTGAATGCGTCATTTTGACTTCCTTCCAAGTTTTCTTGAGATTTGTCTCAAGTGTCCTAAGAATACATTCATCAAGAATTTCTTCACAAGTATATAATGATGGGCTTTTTTCAATCAAAATACCATTAATGCCTAAATAAATTATAAGATTACCTCTTATTTAATGGCCATTTTAACACTAATGAGTATGTTTATTATCATTATCTTGATCACATTTTCTTTTGCAGCAAGGACATATATATTCGCAACCATTCATTTACAATTTTAATTTACCAAACTCAACATCTAGCTCATATTCACTTTATTTAATAGATATTTTATTGATTTTTTTTAATATTTCATCTAATTATTTTATTAATGATTCAACAAATGATTTTAAATTGTAAACTTATTGATCTTATTAATTTAATAATTACAAATTAATAACAAACTTACTATTAACAGGATTGTAATTGCTAGTTTAGAAAATCTCTTAATATTGAATGTCAATGATATCAATTTTATCTTCAATCTTCCCAATAAGACATTAAAAAAGCAATTTAAAAAGATAATTTTCATAAAATAGGTTATGTTTTTAATCAGCATCTGAATAAAAATATTTAATTGTTTTAACTTCCTTTTGTTAAATCTCAATATATTTATAGAAAATTTTAGCATTTTCTTATATACTCCTGAAGTATTTACTTAATTCTTTTCTATATTAAACGCTATATTCAGTTAACAAATTAAGTTAAACTTTGGTTAACATATCCTACGTGTACTTATTTATATATGATTTATGATCAGTCGTATAGGATAGTATATTTTACTTAAACTGTTCATCCTCAAATCTTTTTTCATTAACTTCGATTAACAATTCCTTGTCTAATTTTGCAATAAGTTCAGCATTTGTCATGCTTTGTTAACTCATTTTCTACAACACCTCCTTCTTCGTTCTATCCAAAAATTAGGTTTTTAAAAAATTTGTTATTTTATTCACTAGTTCGTTTGCTTTAATACAACCTTTTTTTTCATTATCTTAGTTAATTTCAGCAATACATCTTATTAATTCATTTTAGTAATTGTTCTAATGTTTTTATTATATATCTTTTGAATTCCAACGTTAATAACAAAGAAATCTCCATATAATTAACATGGAATAATAAAAGATGCATCTTTCTCCAACATCGGTTAAAATTAGACCATATTAAGCAAATTCATTGTTATATTTTACCTTTATGTTATTCTATACCTTTTACATGATACTTTTTATTACATAAGGATTAAAGGATTAAATATTATCGTCCTCTCTAACACCTAGATTAATTAATTAATTTAATTAAGATCCCGAAAATTCTAATTTAGATTTAGAATAGCCAATTTCTTACTTTATTACATCGTAGAGTTCTTTATAAAGTCTATTCCAACCTTGTGACTAAATCATAATTTGATGAAATTGCTTTGGAAAATTTGTCTTAAATTAAGGAGGTGGATTTCCTTTAGGAGACTTTATATAGTTAAAAGATTCATTATAGGATGCTGCACTAGTTTTAATCTCAATTTTAGAATCTATTATTATATATTGTTCTAGAAGTCCTTATTTAAATTTTTATGTATTATTCCATATTTGATCAACTTTTTAGGTAATTTTTAATCCTTTATACATATCTTAAAAAGATTATCCAAATTTGCTACCGACCAAATCAATTTCTATCTTACATTCAAATCTTAGATTTTTTTTCAATTACTAAAAAGCTTTTTGAATTTAAACGCATTGACTAATCCCCTTCTCTTGCCAAATACCAGGATAATTAATTAAATCGTCTAACTTTTCCTTTGAATTTTTATCATATAAAATTTGTAGGCGGTCTAAAATAGTTATAAAATTAAAATAAAAATATCCTACATTACTTTGCATATCATGTTAAATTAAAAGCAAATGAAAATCTTTCTCAAATTGATTATTTAGATATTCTTAGACGTCTAATTTAGCAACAACCTAATAGTGAATTTCTTAAGAGTAAAATTATTTCATATCTAATAATTAATCTGCAGATTTTGATAATTTCTCCTAAAGTGTTTGTTAAAAGATATCAATATAAGCTAAGTTTTATTTTTTGTTGTTATTTATTATGAATATGAATTGTTCAGCCTCTTAGAATTCCTTCATAAAAAGTTAAAATATTTTTTCATGTTCTTTATTTTTTAGTCATTAGGATTTTATTTTATTATTTCTTCCCTAAAATAGTTAATATAGTCTTGTTCATTCTTTGTGTTCAAATTATATTTATTAGAAATAAATTTAATAGCCTTGTATTATGACTCTACCATTTTCAAATATTAGTTTTCTGATGATCTTTCAGTTTCAGCTATAAATTAATCCCATTTTTTTTTAAATTCTTATTCAATCGCTTCTTTGTTTCCCTAAAATTTTTTTTTTAAAAATTCATCACTTAAAACAACTTATATAAAATTATCAATTTAAACGTATCCTTTCTTCTGTTAATATTCTCCTTCATAGTTTTCAATGATATTTTATAGTTTTAATTTGCACTCAATTTCTACAGTTTATATCATACTTTCAAGCTTTTTCAAATATTTTTACATGATTTTTTTCGAAATTTTATTCTCATTTCGAAATATATTCATCCTTTCTTCTATTTAATTTTTGATTTATGTGTATGTTGATTCAATTTCATTTTCTTTTTCTAATAGTATCTATTTATAAGTATCAAAAACAATCTACTTTAGATTTTAAATCTTCTTTAAAGTACGTTGTGTCAAATTATCAGCGACTTAAGTTATATTTTACATTTTCCAAAGATCATCAAAATATTTTTTCATCATTAAATTCTATTGATGTTAAATCAATTCACTAAATTCTAATAGATCAGGTAATTTCTCAATACTTTCCCAATTCCTTTGAACATTTTTAAGAAAATGATCAAAACTATTTGTTTACTCTTCAAGTTTTTAAATAAATCGTTTAATCATGTTAATTCCCTATTTGTATGCTTCTCTAGAAAATGTGTTATTATTTACAGATTGATTCCAGCCATTCTTACCCCAATCTTTCTAATCTGAAGCAAAGCCTAAACCAGAAATATTATCTTTTATATCTAAAATATCTGCATAGTCAATTTACTCTTCTTATTAATCCTAATTGTTTTGATCCCATTCTAAATTTAAATTTTAAGCAAGATCTTTAATTTATTATCTAAATGGTTCTACATTTTTGTAATTATCATTTTAATTGAAAAACCAACTTAATTATTTAAACATTTATAATCCATTTTTTAAATGACCCAAAGTAAAAATGCACATTTCGACCAAATTTTTAAACTATTAATTAATTTCTCCTTTAACATTTATTATAATAATATCGCTAATTGAAAGAACAAATAGTGCAATCTTTTTATCAAATTCTGGATCACTTTAATTTGGATTTTATAAACCTTCTGTATCTAAGATTAGAATTTAGTCAAAACGATTTTGAAATAATTATTTATTTTAGACTTACAAGATTTATAAATGAATTCCTTTTGTACATCTTCCAACGCTAGCCCAAAAGTGACATCCAAATATTTTGTTTAAGATTGTAGATTTACCTGAACTTTAAGGACCTAATATACTTATTACTAAGATTTTTATTTAATTATTCTACGTTATTTTCTTCTCTAATTCAAATAAAAATTCAATGTTAATTGATAAAGTATCCCCATCTAGAAATTCTAATGACTCTCCTTTTCTAATCAATTAAGAGAGCGTTTCAACAGGATCAAACTCTAGAGCATAATTTATGAATTTTCTTAGGCTGATCAATTCTCTCCAAAATAATTCAATGCCAACATTTTTATGAGAAATAGATGTTGCATTATTATCCATTTGCTATTTTACTTGAGACATTTCTAATTTGATTTCTTTGTTCCTGGGATCTTCACATTGCTTTTCTAAATCATTGAGATATTTTTATTTTATCTTCTGTTTTTCCTATTTTAATTTTTTAAATTGTTCATTTAATTCATAATCTCTTTGTTATAAATCTATTAAATTTTTTTGGTTAAATTATCGAATTTTGTCTACAATCCAAAGGTAGATGATATAATAATGCTTTAGTGAAAAAATTTCACTGAAAAGTTTCAACAAATTGCTTACCGATTATTTATCTATTTATTCTTCCAATTCCGATATTTACTATCTATTCCTTAAAATATCATTTTTATTTTCTTAAGGTTTCGTGCATAATTCATAATTTTGCTATCTTAGTTTCTTAATATTCCATAAAATTCGCCTAATAGGAAATGCATTTTAAGAATAAAATCCATCTTGTTCATTAACTAATTGATTTAGTGCTTCCTCAATTTTCTTTATAAGATTATTATGGCTGGTTATCTATTGAATATTATTCGAATATTGTTGATTAAATTTTTATAGTATTAATAGGAACTAATTATTTTTATTTTACAGCATTTATTTACTTTATTACAGTTTTTTTTAATGTTCAAAAATCAAATTAAACAAGAATTTGGAAACATCTTAAATTTAACTTATTTTAAATTATTTGTCAATTTAGTTAGCTGCTAGATTTTGAATATAAATTATTTAAACTTCTTTACTTTCTATTTCTTAAGAAAATGGTTGTTCGATCATTAATTCATTTTCTACTGTATTTCTTACAATAAAGCAAATTTCAACTTAATCCTTTGTTTATTAATCCATTTATTGTAAGATTTTTCGAAGTTAATTTATGTTCTCTTAAATCTCCTACTAAGAATCCATTTAAACTATCCAAAATTAAAAAAATGGGAGTATTTTTAATAAGATTTCAAAAATAATCTGTCCATGAGCATCAGCCACAATAAAATTTCTTGAATTATTGAATTCAAAATCAAACATAATATCAATCGTATTGGAATTCATTAGACATGAGTCACTGGTTTCAAACTTTTCTCTTTAATAAAAGATTTTATTTATAAGATCTGTTTTTCCAATTTTCTTTTGATTTTGACTCAATGATAAATTAATTATAGTATAACCTTAATCAAAAAAATAAAACAAATTGCTATTTAAAAGCAATAATTCAGTTTTTGAGTTAAGATTATCCAAAATTGGATTTTAATACAAAAATGGGATTGGAAATTCTTTTGAAAAAAATTTCATCAAGATGAATTTTAATTCATCATTTGCATTATTGAAGAAAATCTAAAATAGAGATTTTAAATTCAAACATCCAATTCCATCTGCGATTTTCCTATCTTTTTGTAAAGTTTAGTTGGCTAAAATTAAGACATCTTGAGGTGATTCCCCTCTTTTTATTATATTAAAAAATAAAGGAATTATTTACTTAAACTTTTATGAATCAGTCATATCTTAAATCCAATTTGAAAAAACTTATTTTTATTCTTATTCACTATATTCGGATAATGATATGTTGAAATCTTCTAAAGGAATATCCATTTTTTTAGGGTAAAATTATTAACTTTTTTTAATTTTTAGATACTCAATGGACAGCATTACTTAAGATGGTTTTTATATTTTTAACCATTCTTGATATAGCTATTCATCCTATTGAAATACTTCTTAGCATAATTTTAACAAGCTATCCTCATTATAAAAACAAAAAGAATATTACAATTCAACAATTTTATTTATCTTTTCGATACTAATTTTATTTCTTAGACATTAAAAAACAAAGGGAAAATAATAGCATTTATCTTTAAAAATTTTCTATAAATATTATTCCACTTTTGCAAATAGAGATTAGCCTACTTTTTAAAAATAACAAAAAATGGCATAAATTGATAATTTAACTGAAGAAAGGGAAATATTTTAGCTTTTATTGATGACGATTAAATGTTCCAAAGCATTTATGCTAAAATTCTCAATAAGTTTTTAAATGGGTTGTAAATCTTCTGGTAGGACTAAAGATTTTATTGCAAAAATACATTTCAAACTTTAAAGACATTCTTATATCATAGATTTATTATTCGACATCAAATAATTCACCAGGTCATAAGCCAAATTTTAAAGAGTTTAGGTTGGAAATACATTATGTATTACAATGAATTTCCTGCCAATTTTTGCAAAGAAGGAAATTGATTTTTGGTCTAATCTACTATTTATAAAAAAATTTGCTTCTAAGATTAGTGGTGCCCTCAAAAGACTTCCATAATGATCGTGTAAATTTCTTAGTAACAAGTAATTATTTTCTTCTTTGGGGGAAATGGCATAAATGATTCTTAGAAAATTTTTTTGTAAAATATGAGTATCTAAATTAGTATCACAGTTAATTTTTATTTAAATTATTTCTTCATATATTAGTATTGCATATTCTTTAAAAGTTTGTTTTTTTATTTATGTAATTTTATTTAATATATTGAACAAACTAACATTTTGATTATATATCCATAAAAGGTTTGTAATGAGATTTGCAGTTTGATTGTTTTATTCAACTTTTTCCTATTTATAAAATCTTAGTGATTGGATTATTTTCCAATACTCCATAAATTTAGAATTATCTTTTAAAATTTTATACATAGGATATTATTTCTTTGATTGATAGACTTCCATATTCTTTGTCATAGTCTTAATAACCTTTTCGTATTAATCACTGCATAGTATATTATCTATTTTTTCCATATAATAGCAGATTCTATGAATAACAAATAAGTATATGGTATCTTATATTTTAGATTTTTATTTTTATAAATACCTTTCAATAAATATTAATTTTCGTTCATTATTAGGTAATTTTGATAAACTATCTTCTTAAATTTTGAGATCATTTTGCAAATTATATTTAATACAATACTTTTTCCAATAATAGAAGACAGTTTGTAAATACATGTCGTTAAGTTGATCATTATTTTCTATATCGCTTATATATGATATAATTTGAACAAATTAGCATTATTCAACTGGTATTTAAATTAATGAGCTTATTTATTATTATAAATGTGATCTTAGATTTATTATTTCCTTGTTAAAACTCATCAATAACATCCTATATCTTTAATTAGCTTGCAAAAAAGTTTATAAATCGCTGTCAGTCTCGCTAATACATTTTAATTGTAATTTTTGTAAAAAGTTTTACACAAAGGTCCTAAAATTTTATGGATCATCCTTTTCTAAATTCTCCATGTAATACTATACTTCATATATTTATTTTTATAATAGGGATCCTATTACTTGTTCAAAAGTTTTTTATTCATCATCAGTAAACATTTAGTTACAGTAGAATAATTCTAATAAAATTTTCAAGATTTCAATTTAAGTTAAATCCTTTTTATCTAAGTTATAGTCTAGTAAATCGAAAACTAATAAAGACTTTATCTTCAATTTTATGAGTAATTATAGATTAGCAAAAAATTCAATAGGAATCTAATTCTATCTTCTATATTCGGGCACCTTCAAATAATCTAAAATAGATTCATAATTATTATTTTCTCTGTCAGATTCGTAAAATGATATATAATCAATTTCTTCCTTATTGGGATCAATCTCTTCTTGAAGCCAATAATTACCACTTTTTAAAAATTCATAATCTCTAAAATGTTTATTTAGGGCCTATACAACTTTATTCTTGTCTTAATCGCATAAATTAGACATTAGTGGGTTCAAATCATCTAAAATATCATTACTCTCCAACACAATTCCTTCTTTTATTTCTTAAAAAAGTGCTATTATTTTTTCTTCTATTGCTTTATCTTATATGTTTAATTCAAAATCATCTTCTTTTTGCATTTTTTATTTTGAAATTTTGTATTTCTATCAAGATTTTCAAAAATTTAAGACAATATATTTGATTGTAATAGAATTACAAATTTATTTTAAAATAATTGAGACTTCATATTGTTATAATCCCCTTTTAAATTTAATCATAAGCTCAACTAACACAATTTAACAATCAAAATGAAAATGAAAAATTGTTCATCATTGTCTTCATCAATAGATAACAACGATTTGCATGACACATATAAGCTGATTTAGCTATTTAATATTATAAGAGTTAGATTTAAAGGCTTTTTCTTTAATTTAAATTTTTTCCCCATTAATTCTAACAAAAAATTTTTGGTACTTTAGAGTAATAATTATCGTAAGATATAACCAAATGGCATTTTCAATAGTATAACAATGAATTGCAGAATGAGTCGGAAGAACTTTCAAAAATTAACTTTTATCATATTAACTTGTGGTTTAATATTTCATATCATGTAAGAGTATTCAGGTAATGTCACATGAAGTGCCATTTTTCTCAGGTTGTCAAATTGCAATCTATTTCGTTGGCACCAAAAAAACAGGAATATCTAAATCTATTTTGCCTATAAACCTATGAAAAGAGCTTGTGTATTACTGAAAATCTTGTGTATATTCTATAGGATTTACGATATTTTATATTGACTCATCGTCATAGTCATTGTAAAATCGGGATAAATTTTAATTTTATTTTGATTAGAATACTTTATCAAGATGAAGTCATTTTATGTTGATTCCTTAAATGCTTTAATTATTGGCAGATCTATTAAATCTATCAATAATCTATAGAGCTATTTTTATAAAATGTTAAAAATTTGTGTTCTACTTTAATTTATTATGGCATTCTATTTTAAAGTAATCAATTAATTTCGACTCTTAATTTCTCAAAAGAAGGAGCTAAATTAACTAAAGTTCATATATAGTGTAATGTTTAAAGAAAGGCTTTAAAAATATGAATCAAATATAAGAAACAAAATAGTCAAAGGACTATAATTTTTTAAATGGAATCTGGATTTTCATTTTATACTCCAAGTTAAAGTAAAACAGTAAAAATAATATATACTCTAAAAATTAGATATATTAATACCACACTTTTAAGGTTAAATTAATTGAATAACGCATGAGTATTTACAACATTTGCTAAAAAAAAAATTTAATCTTACAAGAGATATCACCAAATTCAAATTGTTTATTTCTTTGATTTATCATAAAGTACATTGAATATCTAGCACAAATTATAAATACAATTTCTCAATATTCTGGAAGGTTTATTCTGCATTTCAGGATATCATAATGTAAAGATTAGTGTTTTTAAATTCTTCTTAAAATTCTTGGTTTGAATGACAATAAATTTACTTTCTGTTGTTTAATTGAGTAATGGCAATAATAATACATACATAAATTAGTTACTCCAATAATTAGATATCAATAATAATAACCATTATTATATTATGAATTAATAATCGATTATTAATTGATATCTGATCTTGTTCTGTTTTTTTTATTATTTTATAACCTAAATTATAGGTAGCCACTAACTAGTATTTTTTTTATCTTATAAAATATTTCAAATATGCCAATCCCTAATGATACTCATTACACACATCCACCGATTTTAGGAATTAACATCTACAATTTGAATTTTATCTTGAATGATATTTCAAGTAATTAGGGAGTTTTTGTCTTCCCTTAATTACTCATAATTTCATAACTTTTAAATTATATTAACTGCTCCATTGCCCATTCCTCATTTTCTTTCACCCACAAGAAAATAAAATTCTTATCATTTGAATTACCTAGAATTCAGGACTTCTCTTTAAGGTATGTATGGCAAGTGAAACCGAAGCTCTTTTGTATACTTAATAGGTTGATTTCCTTGTCGTAAAGGTAGAGGAAAATTGCTATCATGAGATTTCTCCAATTCTTTTGAAACTTCAATTTGAATGATCCTTGTAATTTCTTGATAAAATTCTTATATTTTCTTCAAAATAAAAACAATGGTTTTAATCTGATTCATCTAATTCTTTCTTCATTACACTCTGTCTATATTATTATTGATAGACACAATTCTTTACTTATGATTCAATTAATAAATAAAGAATTTTTCTTTAAAACTTATTGATATTGTTGCTCAATTATTTACTTTCATTTATTAAATCTTTGTTTTATCTCCTCAACCAAAGCCATATTTTAAAATCAATTTTCTCGATTAAACACTTTATACATAGGAATTCATCTTCATCAGTTTTTCGTGTTTGTTTTACTTTTCTTAACTTCAAAAGGGTTAACATTTAGGAATTCTAACTCCCTCAAAAATGAATTTAATATTAGATTTATAAATATTAAAAAAATACAAATAATATACACTAAATCATATTTAATATCTTTCTAAACGTTAAATTCCTATACTTTTGGGAAGAATAATATACTAATAATCTTCTTTTTAATGTATTATTCAAATCAGGTATATAATTCGCTCTGTACATATTATAATATTATCTAAACTAAGAATATGCTGGATTAGTAGCTTTTTAGCTGTTAAAGAGTGGCTTATACATGAAATTAAGATGGATTTATTAATATTTTGGCTTACTTACAAAAAGTAAAACACATATTTTACAACTTATTCTAATTAATTCAACCTTTAATAATATTTAATACTTATATTATTGTAAACTAATTTTTAAATGGATAAGAAATTTCATTTATTTTGTATTTTATTTATTAATCAGTAATAATTTTGTGAGTAACTATAAATGCTTGTTGGATTTAAAACTTTAATATTTTCCAAAAAAAGGATTAAATTTTCTTAAAGGGAAATAGATGGTGGTTGAAAATTTATTCTAATTTTAATTAAACTTTTTTATTTTTTTCTAACTCAAAGGAATATAATTATAAAGAGCATAATACCTGTTTAAGAGGATAATTTTGTAATTGAGCAATAAAAGTAAGAAGCTTTATGAAAAATAATCTAGAGTTGGACAATCTATTTGAGAAAAAAGTGACTTTAGTTTATTTATTCGCTTATTAAATAAATTCGAGAAACCACCGATCAGAATTAAAGAAGTCTTAAGATGAATTTGTTAAATAGTTATTCTCCAATTTATTTTAGCTAGATGATTCGATTAATTATGAATTATATTAAATTAGGAAGAAATTATTTATTATATATAAATATTTTCAAAATTTTTTTTGATAGAATGTTTTCGAGAGTTTTTGAATTCAAGCGTCCAGTTCGTAAAAATCAACAGTTTATCAGGAAACGCCAGCCAAGAATTGAATTTTCTTACTTTATGACTCACATTAAATGGCACAATTAAAGTAGTTCTAATAAAGAATAGATTTAAAATACATATTGAAAGAATCCTACAACAAAAGAAGAAGGAATACACCCTGGACAACAAAAACCCTATCAACATAAAGAAGAATCTCAAAGGTAATTCTATCGAACACTTAGAGTTAAGAATGATAATAAATAAAGATATAAATATCTATAGATCTCAAAGGTTTACAATATTTAAAATGTTGGTATGAGGGCTGCATTTGCACATTTTACAAAAAAGGCTTCTACTGAGCAGACTTTAATTACAAACCAAGGAGTCTTCAGCAAGTGCGAATTTTAGAGTGGAAAAGCTATAATGTGAAATATAAGTAATATTTTATTAAATTTCTACCATAGTGATTAAAATTAGAGATTAATCATTTAAGAATAACAATAAAGTAGTTATTTCAACTGACATTTTAAATCTTAGTAGATAACCAATTGTTGATTCATAAATTGATTATCTATTAAGATCTTAAATAGCACAAGGAGTTAAGAGGTAAATGTTATATTCCAAAAAGAGATAATTTTTTACTTTAGATTATCTCATCCAAAAATTATCGAAGAGTGCAAAAAATATAAACTCATGGAAATAACTTTCACGACTTATAAAAACATTTAAAGAACCTTTTAATTTTGAACAAAATAGTTTAATTTAAAATAAATTAAATGGAATATAAATTTAACATTTCATATGTTTAATAAAAATGCAGGATTAAGATTTATTCTCAATAAATTCAGTTTTCATTAATTTAGATATTAGAGTCTTCAAATTATTCTTTTTGTTTTGAATAAGAAACTAAATTATTATTTTATTTTGTTTTTGATTATAAGATCAATATATCATAACATTAATCTAACAGTTAAGGGATGAAAATTCCTATCCCTTTTTGAGAAAGTACTTTAATAATACTCAGTATAAATCAATTAGAAAAGGTTTAAAGGATGTTAGATCGGATGCTTTAATTTTACAATCTTGAAACTCTTTAAGGGTTAATAAATATAAGTGAGGTTAAAATTTCAAGAGTAAAACACTGCATTTCTTAAACTTATTAGTTGTCGTATGGATTTCAAAGGATTTAACTTCCAATTTTGTTTTCGATTCATTTATATAAGTTCTTCTATAAGGCTTAAGAATAATTAAAGTGGATTTCGTTAATTTATATTAACTACCCAGATAGACTATTAATATAGATAAATGACTGCATCAATTAAATTCAAGCATTTAGTACATCATCAAACATAACTTCTAAAATAAGTCATCTAAAAACTTTCTGTAATTATCCATTTTATACAAAAATTTGCTGTTAGCATAACAGCTAGATATTATACGAATACATACTTAGATAAAAACTGAATTTTAATTTCAACAACATCATTCTTATTTTCTATAATCAAAAGCCACTATTGCAGAAAGAGAAAATATATTGAATATAACATGGGGTTTAAGTTAAACATAATAATATTAAATAACAAAATTAATTTTACTTGATATTTATATATCTGAGCTAAATTAAATCAATAAGGAATAAAAACTCTCTTGTTAGTTCAATCTAGTTAGATCAGAAGCGTAATTAAACTTCATTAAATAGCTTTATGTTTATTAATTTCATTAAATTGAAGGCCAAATTTGATAGAAGTTATTTGATTTTTTCCATGTTACCTGTTATATGTATCAATCAAAGGTAACTTAGTTATAAGGTGAATTTTGTTGAATAATTATATATACTAATGCTTAACAGAATAATGCTATTCTATGTGCATGAAAGTTCGAGATTGTTCGATTCAATCAGTTGTTGCTTCAACATCCATTTTTATTATATTCATCCATTCTCAGTTTATCATCGTAGAATCTATTAATTTGTCATCTTATTCTCAGCTGCCGTTATTTGATAGCACTGCTCACTACTTCTATAATTGTTGGCTATTCTATCCCGGCTAATCTTGGGCAATAGTTTCTCTAGTTTTTTGAGTTTAACAGTGATTAAATTACTTTACACCACAATTTTATAATAAATTGGTTCTTAATTTTAATAATATTCCTTCCAATCTTATTACCATCATCTTCTTTATTCTTTTACCTTAGAGTTATTTAGTTCCCCATGATCTATACTAAGTAAAAAAATAAATTTTTAATCTATAGTAGGTTAAATCCCAAAGGACTTTTTCAAGTATAAGCATATTTCTTAGGCGATTATCGACTTATTTTATATGAAATTGAGATAGTTTTTATTTATTTGTCCTTCCATTAGTTTATTCAATACTTTGTTTTCACTTTAATTAGGTAATAGCTAAATGAATTCTTTAGATCTTCAGCATCTATCATGATTTGAAGGTTCAAGTAATACATATAAAAAATCGAGCAATTGAGTAGTATAATTTGTACGATTAGCCATAATTTCATATCTGATTCAATTTATGGAAGAGAACTCTATAAAAAGTATTGTTTGACTGTGTTCAAAACCAAATGAATAAATCTTCATTGTCATTATTTGACCAGGTTTTCAAGGTCAAAGCATCTTGCAAGCTCTGTCATTACATATAATTATTTTGGGACACATTAAGCCTATATGTTAGAAAGATCACTTTACTTTCAAGCAATTTTGAAGAAGTAACTCCTATCAAATAGGTTTTAGATTCATTTACTTGTTCTCTTTTTTCATTTGATTGCTCAAACAGAATATTACTATTGTTAGGCAGTCTTTCAATTCTTTTTACAATCCTAAGCATATTTTTATTAAAATGGTTAATTGAATAAGAATTAAGTTCTAAGAATCATATTAATCAGCTGTTTAGCCGATCAACATGATTAAGTTTTCTCAGATTGTAAGTAAACTAGAAACAATATATTCCAATCTTAATAAATTGATCTCAGCATTGAGTTTGACCATTCGTATTTGAAAGAATTTTAGAATGCACACAGATTCAAAAATGATTGGATCTCTGGTATGAATTTCTGAAACTAATTCATTGTTGAAAGAGAGATTATTGAATTCTCACAATCAGGAAACTTATTGATAAATAGTATGAAGAAGACTATCTTACCCTATCCTCCAAAGAATCCATCCATTATCTAAAAAAAGTAATACATTGAAGAAATTAAACTATCAAATTTATATTTTGAATCCAATCATCTTAATTACAACAGAAAAACTATCAAAGTAACTTTATAGAAGTTACATATCCAAACTAATACTTAGTTGATTATTGCAGTAATTAAATGAGTGTGGATGCCTCTTTTTTTAATGGTTTTCAACTTTTATTTTAGTTATTAGAATAAATATGATATCATTATTTTAGCAGTTGATAAAGATTTGAATGCTTTATAATCAAAACGATTTTTCGATTATCTTGATAGAATTTTGATTCTTATTATCCTGAAATCTAAAATTTTATAAATTTATTTAAATTCAAATCTATCTCAACTCCTTACACTTCTAATGACAATTTAATAATTAGAACATCTGGTCCTCAGCATCATTCCCTCCAATATTTTTTTGATCAATAATGCTAATCTTTTTCATTGAGATTGTCGTACTCCTGCGTCCTGATGTTTATTTGACTCTGAAGAATCTTCACTTTCCCATCAGATCCATATAAATAAGAATTTGATTGCGCCAGAAAATTAATCAACTTCTTTAGCCTTTCAGAGTTCGGCTGACCCTATTTTTCATTTGGCTGATCTGATTGGAGGTGCTAACTAAATAGATTGCTTCAAATTTAAATCTTTGCAGAACTAAGTTTTTCGAAATTGAAAGATGGATGATGCCATTGCGATATTAAAAGATACAGCCAATAAGCAGAACTCCAAACTGAGGATGCACTTATTATTAAACTTTTTAAGGTTTTAATTAATTGTGATTAATACTCTTAACTTGAATTGGTTTTTTGAATAGATTCAAATATGCCTGAGTAAAGGAAATCAGAATGCTAAATGGATCTTAATTCACCTTTAGATTCATAATTTAGATCTGTGGAACTCCTATGTTAAATTTCATACCTATATTACCCTTAATTAGAAAAGGGAAACTAATACCTACTAAAGCTTTAACTATCAATAAAATTATAGAGAGTTCTATAATCTTAAAGGTCACCACTTCCAAAATTTCTTTAAATATTTAAAGGTTACAACCTATAAATTTGAAAATTATCAATTATAAAGGATTAAGTGAATTATTAATTACTGCTCTAACAAGACATTAAGTAGGTTGAAAATATCAAATTGAGAATATGAGTATATAAGTATTCTGAATCAGAAATCTCCGTGTACATAATTAAATGATTTTATTTTGCCATCTATTAATACCTACTCTAAATGATTAAAATAGATTTAATCAAAATATTATTGGAATATGTCTTTCTATTATTATTCTTATTGATTTAGATTAATTGATTGTCTAAGAGTTTAAGCCATTAATAGGAAATTTCAAGAAATAAAAACTCAGAATTAAATCATTAAGTCTAAGTAAACAAATAAGTTCGTATTCCAAAAAAACCTAAGCATCATATAGACTAAATAACTAGGCAATAAAATTTATATGTGTGAGTTTTTGGTTAATAAATTATAAACAGAATGGATTTCTAATTCCTGAAATAAACTTTGAATAAATATGTAAAACACTTGATTTAGTAACGTTAGGTTCCATTCAAGATGATTTAAGTATATTTTTTCTATCTTATTGAGGAGTTAAAATTATTAAATTATATGTTTGTAAAATATTCCGTATTTTACCTTATTTTAAGAATATTCGATTATAGGATGGAGACTTACAGTTAAATTTCAAGAACAAAAATTTTCTATTGATGTACATTATTTAGTTCTTTATATTTCTGCATTTTCTGACTTTCTTCGCCCTCCATCCCCTTTTATTTTTGTAAATTAGAAATTTAATCTAATATTATTTATAAATTCTCTTAGAGATATCTCTAAAGTTGTTAATTTTTATAATATGTTATCAATTAAAATGGATCTACATCTATTGATTAATTTTTGCTATCTCTTGTAAAATTTGATTTTTAAGAGGGGTGTGAAGGAATTTCTTTTTGGTTCTTTACAAATACTGGAAATTCTCTAAATTTCCACTTATTAGTTGAAAAATGAATATTCAATTAAAGAATGTTAAGTTCTTTATTAAGGATATCTTTTTGGTTTGGAGTATTTGGATAATTTCAAATTAAAGAAACATTGATTTCTAATTAAATAATACAACAGTAAGAAAAAGATCCATCAATAAATACTAAGGAAATGGATAAAGATATTGATTATTGATTCTAAAGTGATATCTATTTCATAATATTATCATTACCTTCTCTTTATATTCACTAATTTCCCCATAAATGCTAACTTATTTCCTACCTAGAGGTTAATACAAGAATATGGATAAAGTTAAGTATTTAAATTACTTTTTAGAGAGAACATCTTACCTACATTTAATCAACTGCTATTTTTATGCAAATTTCTTCTTTGCTTAGTATTTTAAATATAAATTATATTTCTTTAAAATTGTGATCTCCTAACATTGGATACAAACCAATTTAACCTTTCATAATAATTACCTTTTATTTAATGGTTTTCCTTTAATTACGACTTAATTACAATTTAAGACTCCTGGTAGAGATTAATTTACAACATAATGTTAAGTGCTATATTGTTTTAGCTCATTCTTTTTAATTATTACTAGCTTAATTGAATAAGGTCTTATAATTAATAAATCATTCATTTTCAAATTTACTTATAATCCTTATATGAATTATATAATTTAACTTTTCGAGCAGTTATTTTCTAGCTAGCAAATTCATAGCCTTAATAACATCTTAGAGTAAAGACATAATTTTCTGATCAATATTATTAATTACGTTTTAATATTTATATTATACTTCTTTAGATACAGCTCATAAATATGAATAAATCTTTCGCTCACATTTCGGCTAGCTACAAACTCTTTGAAATATAATCCTTTCTAATCAGACAATAAGATTTGATTAAAATTGCGTTTTCTATTAGAGATGTTTATAATTATCAAAGAAATTAATGATGGCTAAGAAAGATATATTAATCATAAGTATTAAATTAAGCTCTAATTCCTAAACAAGTAATATTGGGTTTTTCGAAATCTAAGATCAATTATAACTGAGTCTAGCGCTTATTTAAGATTTCTTCTAATTAATTCTTTCATTTATTAAGTATGCAACTTTCGATGTTAAGGATTTAGAACATATGTATTCTATGTAAATCTACTTCATCAAGGATAGATACATTTGAGGATTTTTTCATTTTCTCTTTGTTAAAATATCTTGTAATATTTCATTATTAAGAAATAAAATTCCAAAATATGTTTCATTTCCTTATTCCTTCAAGCTCTACTTGCAATTGCCCTAGTTTATATTATGATGATGATGGAATTAATCCTGCTTGTTAAAGTAATACATCAAGTCAATGCGAATTTTGTCAATTAAACTCATACAGAACTTACATATTTTTATTTTATTCGCTTTATAATGATCATTATTTTACTCCATATTCCTATTTATCAAGAATACCATTATCCTTCTCTATTTTGCAATTCTAATTAATGTATAAGCTGCTAACATAAATAATATCCCCAGAATATTAAATGGTAGACTTTTAGAATGCCTCCTTGAATATTACGATCATTGGTTTTCTTCAAATTAATAAAAATGCTTTGATAAATGGCATTTATAATTCAACTTTTCATTTCTCTTTTAATTCATATTGTATGTTATTTTTACTATTTCTTACCCTATATAATATTTTTCCTGAAACTCCTCGTTCACTCTCTATTTTTGGTCATTCCATAAATTTTCTTTATTTTTTGAAGTTTCATGTACTGAATATTTAACAGCATTATAATCGCGCTTTAATATTTATAAAGTAATAATACTTAATATGATGATTTTTATTTTGACTTTCAAAACTTTATCATAGATCATAATATAGTTATCCGAGCAAATCGCCTAAGGGAATTGAGATGCTAATCTATTTCATGAGGTCATTTTTGAAATGTTTTTTCCTCATTTATAGCTATTGGTTTTCAAGACACAAATATTCAATTTTCTTCAGAGATATTTATAAATAGGAATTAAAGAAAAGGAATAATATTTTTTTTAATTCTAGAATCGGATGATTGTAGCAATGCAATTTGAATTTTGAAATTCTACTTTCTAGCTTATTTCTAAATGCTCATGGTTGGAAAATTAATTGAATTTTTTTACAACCAAAATTGTAGATTAGTCTATTGAGGAATTTATTCATTTTCACCTTCTAAATACAATCCAATAAGGAAAGGAGTTTTGAAAATGTGTAAAAATGTTATATGATTAAACTTTTCATAATATTTAATACCTAATTAT